AATTTTCACAAAGTGAACACACCTGTGTGACTGGCTCCTAGATCTTGAAAATTACCAGAACCTTTTATGCCTGGATGCCCCCTCTTGCGTCCCCTTCCAGTCACTACCTTCCCACCCTCACCCCAAGGTAACCACTCGCTTGACTTCTAACAGTATAGATTAGTTTTGTCTGTTTTGATTTTTATAAAAATGGAATCATACAGTATGTGTTTGAACTTGTTTAATTTTTTTAAGTCTGTGCTTCAAAATCTGTTTCAGGTCCTGTACAATGGGTTCACTGGTCGAAAAATCACATCACAAATTTTTATTGGCCCCACTTATTACCAGCGTTTGAAGCATATGGTGGATGATAAGATCCATTCTCGTGCTAGGGGACCTATTCAGATCCTTAATAGACAGCCCATGGAGGGCAGATCTCGGTAAGAGAGCTGCATCATCATCATTGTTGTTAATTAGCATTTTTTAATGCAAAATATCAAACACGTAAAAATAGAGATAATGAAATCCCCATGTAACTGTCACCCCACTTCAATAATTATCAACACATGGCCAGTTTTTGTTACATCCATCTCCCCACCAACCCCTGATTATTATTATTATTATTTTTTTGGTGAGGAAGATTGGCCCTGAGCTAACATCTGTTGCCAGTCTTCCTCTTTTTTGCTTGAGGAAGACTGTCGCTGAGCTAACGTCTATGCCAGTCTTCCTCTTTTTTGCTTGAGGAAGACTGTCGCTGAGCTAACGTCTATGCCAGTCTTCCTCTTTTTTGCTTGAGGAAGACTGTCGCTGAGCTAACATCTGTGCCAGTCTTCCTCTATTTTGTATATGGAACATTGCCACAGCATGGTTTGATGAGCGGTGTGTCGGTCCATGCCTGGGATTCGAACCTGTGAACCCCAGGCTGCCAAAGCAGAGCATGCGAACTTAACCACTATACCACCGGGCTGGCCTCCTTGATTATTTTTAAGCAAAGCCCAGATATCATGTAATTTCTTCCATAAATATTTCAATATATATTTATAAAAGAGTAGTTCTCAAATTTTTTGATTCCAGGACCCCCAAAGAGCTTTTGTTTATGTTGAGTTGTGTCTATTGATGTTTATCATGTTAGAAATTAAAATTGAGGTGTAAAATCTTTATTAATTTATTAAAAATAACACTAATAAACCCATTACATATTAATATAAATAACATTTTTAATGAAAAATATTTTCCAAATAAATTTAGTGATGAGTGACATTGGTTTACCATTTTGCAAATCTTTTTAATAACCTAGTTTACTAGAGACAGCTGGGGTCTTGTGTCTGCTTCTGTGTTCATTCCATTGTGGTATTTTATTTTTTATATTTAAGTATATGAGGAAAAACTGACCTCACACAGATATGTGGTTGGAAAAGGGAGGAATATTGTAATAACCTTTTCAGGTGATTGTGGGTATTCTTTTTTGATGCTACGCCAAAATGACAAGTTGTAGTTTCTTAAAGGTTGGTTGTGATGTAGAATCTGAAACCATATCAGATATTTATTATATTTATATTTATTAATTAAAATTCATTGGCCTGAGTTGCACTTTGAGTATATCTTTTACACATGCATAATTTTGTACCATCATAATTGGTTATTTGGAAAACATTGGTGCACTGAATTATGCAGATTCTTAAATAGTCATATTTCATTATGCCAAAAAAAAAATTTTCACATTTGTGAATAGCACCACTGATGTCATCAGAAAAGTTTTTTTAAATATTGGGAAATTATCAAGCCCATGGTGTTGGACTGAGGTTTTAAAAATTCTGATTTCTGATTGAAAGCTTAAATTTTTAATCATTTTCAACAAATACTTAAAATTATTTTCCTTTCCGTGAAGAAAGCTCACTTTGTTCATTTTCAAAAAAAAGTCTGCCAAATATTTAAGTTTGAATTAACAAAGCTCGTGTTAATGTTGGTGAATTAATGCAGTTGAGGTTAGCTTTTTTTTCAAGTAAAAAAGATATTCCAGGATAAAAATGTTCAGAGTCATGCAAGTGCTTTTCTTCAAGACAGCCAGCCTCAGTGTACAGCAGAAGTGCTTTATGCGAACTTCCCATTTTGTCATAGAACATTAAAAAGATGTGTACTCAAGGGTCAGGGTTTAATAACACTAATCATTTTTACTGCTTCATTAAAGACATTCTTAAGTAAAACTGGCTTTTTTCCCCCCTTCACTCACACTGGAGAATATGACTGCTGGTAAAGTTTGGTTTCACTGCCCTGGTTTGTGTTCAGGTGCCAGCAGTTTTATTCAGTTACTTTTGCAAACATCAGTGCAAAATCAACACAGTGAAAGAAGCAAATGTGTTGTTAGTGTTATTATAAAATAGTTTTCACCCTCATGGGGTCCACAGACCACACTTTGAGAACCTCTCCTTTAAAGGATTAGAACATTAATGGTGGCGCAAGCAGTTAAGTGCACGCGCTCCGCTGCGGCGGCCCAGGGTTCGCCGCCGACGCACCGCTTGTCGAGCCATGCTGTGGTGGCATCCCATATAAAGTGGAGGAAGATGGGAATGGATGTTAGCCCAGAGCCAGTCTTCAGCAAAAAGAGGAGTACTGGCAGATGTTAGCTCAGGGCTGATCTTCCTCACAAAAAAAAAAAAGATTAGAACATTAAAGAAAAAAACTAACCATAGTACCTCCTTAATATTATTAAATACCCAGTGTTCAAATTTTCCTGATGATTTCATAATTTTTAAAAAGGTTTGTTAGTTTTAATCAGGATACAAATGAAGACCATGCTTTGCAATTGATTGATGTGTCTCTTTTTTTTTAATCTATAAATTGCCCTCCAGGTTTTTTTTTCTTGCAATTTGTTTGCTGAAGAAACTGCATTGTTTGTCCTGGAGGGTTTCTCACAGTCTGGATTTTGCTGATTGCATTCCAGGGGTGGGCGTTCCTGTTTTTCCTGTAAATAGCTAGTTAGATCTAGAGCCTTGAGGAGAAGAAGAGTTTGTGTTCTCTTGAAGTAGTAACTTCTTAGGCGGTATTGTATACTTGAAATATCTGGTTGTCTCTCTCATGATTTTAGCAGCTATTAATGATCTTTACGTAAAGACCTTAATTAAATAGGGATTGCAAACTGATGAGATTTTAATTTTATCATTCCTTCATTTATTAGCTGGAATACTTTTATAGAGGGAAACTTTGTTTCCTCAACTGGTTACCTGGTGACATAGTTCACATAGTAAAAGGTTGTCAATGCTTGACTCTTCCCCACCCCCCACCCCCCCTTTTTTTACACCAGTTTTCAAAATGATGAATTGGTTTTCTAGCATCCTCCAAAGTCGACCAATGATTTGTTTTTTAGTAATATCAATAGAAACTCATTGATTTTATGTATTTTGTGTATTAAGAATGTTGAGGAAGCTGTCACCATCCACTTGCCTGGCTATCTGAACAATGCATTTCATTTCACTTCCATGTTTGGAAAACTGTGATCATTCACTTGTTCTTTCTGTTATTTTTGCCAACATGCATTTGTCATTTCAGGCTTTATTGCCTGGGAGACTCATTCACAGAGAAGCTGCTTTATTTAGATTGAGTTTTTTATTCAGTTTTGAGTGTAGAGTTGAATTCTAGTAAGTTAAATGATAGCATGATGAAACTCTACTCTGTGCTTCATTGTATTTTATGGGAAAAATTATATCTAAACTTGAGAATCTAACGTGTTTATTCTATTTGGGGACCTTCTAATGCACATCAAATAGTTGGTAGACTTCTCCCCTCCCCACCCTGTAGAGAGAATGCTAGGGGATAAAAATTAAGAGTCTAGTTCTTCTTTACTAATATCATTCTTGACCTTTGCCATTAGTCAAAGTGGTGTTGATAATAGAAAATAAGTATAGTCATGTACTGTATAACAATGTTTCAGTCAACAACAGACCACATATACAATGGTAGTCCCATAAGATTAGTACTATACAGCCCAGGTGTGTAGTAGGCTATACCATCTAGGCTTGTGTAAGTACACTCTGTGATGTTTGCACAATGATAAAATCGGCTAACGATGCACTTTTCAGAATGTATCCCTGACGTTAAACGATGCATGACTGTACAAAATTATGTTGTTTTTCCCTTATCAGTGATGGTGGCCTGCGTTTTGGAGAAATGGAACGAGACTGTCAGATTGCCCATGGAGCAGCCCAGTTTTTAAGGGAAAGATTGTTTGAGGCATCAGATCCATATCAGGTTCATGTTTGCAATCTTTGTGGAATAATGGCGATTGCTAACACAAGGACCCATACATATGAATGCAGGGGCTGCCGAAATAAAACCCAGGTGTGTATAGACATTATTAGCAGTTGATATTTGTTTAAGATATTACCATGTTGGTCTAATCATCCAGGCAGATTTAGTGTGGTAGAACAGATTGGCATTTTCACAATTTTGATAGCATGCCTCTATAAGATTCCTAGTTTTAAATGAGGAAAAAGATATAAATTTTTTTTTTCTAAAAACCAGTTCAAGTTTTAGTGTCATAATTTCTCTAAGCTGTTCATCTTCTGGAAATAATAAGGCCATGTACAAGGAATTTTAAATAATGAGTTTTTTAAAAACCTTTTAATTGAGAAGGGTGAATACGAATTATGTCTGGCAGAAAGGGTGAAATACCAAAGCTTGTTAAGAGAAGGAACCCCCATAAGCTAAGGTAGCAAGATGAGTGTTACCAGTCTGTTCTTTTAGTCATCATCTATAGTACCAAGTCTGTACCTTTTTCTGGGGTAGAGAAGTGGGGTCACTTCAATACAGCTTTGCTAATTACCTTTTTTCTTTTTTTTTCAGATTTCTTTGGTGCGAATGCCTTATGCGTGCAAACTGTTGTTTCAAGAACTTATGTCTATGAGTATTGCACCTCGAATGATGAGTGTCTAACTCATTTTAGAAGATTCTCAACAAGATACCTGTAAATATCTTTTGTGTCTTGTTTCTATGACACGGCTTTTAAAAATATAACAAATATGTACTGCATTGTGAGAAAAAGCATTTTATTTGTTTCATTTAATGATATGCATGCTTTTCTTCTGTAAATAGACAATAAATTTTTGTAGATAGTTGTGATGTGTTATCTTTATTTGGTATTTCACTATGTAAAACCAGTGACTATAACTAAAGTGTTAGTGGACTGGATGAAAAGAAGCTGGTTATTAGGCAAGAACAGGGGTTGTAGTTATCCATGACTACTTTTAGCTATGCAGACTAATATATTCTGCAGGTTTATAGCTCGGCACCTTCACCTGTTTAAAAAAAGAAAAAGATAAAAATTAGTTACATATATGGACGTGGTTGACTTTCTAATTGTCAGGTAGTTTAGTATTTCCACATAAATGAAGATGTTAAAATGTGGGGATAAAGGATATGTGAGTAACTGTACAAATGACACGGTGGAGTGCTCTGGAATTTGAGCTGTATGATTAGATGTGGGAGGCGATTTCGTTGTATTGGTCTAAGCGAAAGAGATGGGCCTTATATAAGGAACTGGAAGAGCCTGTTTCACAGAGAGGCTAAGGAACTTTCCTTTGTCATCCAGCTTTCATTCAAAATTTAAAGCGCAGGAATAATTAGTGGCAGAGCTGAGGCTCAAATACACGACTTGTCTCTTAGCTACTGCTGTTTGTTTCATCGCCTGGCTTTACACTTCGTGGCTGTAGAGAATCTGACCAAACACATCTTTACTTGACATTTCTTCCTTTCATACCACAGCTGAGTGATCTGCACAGTGGAATGGTGTGACAAATGCTGACAATAAATCTTGTTCTTATTTTTGGCTTAAGGGAAAGCCAATTCAGACATCAGGCTAATAGAGCTATATAAATGTAAAGTAGCATTGCTCTGACACCATCGGCATGGGTGCTTAACAGGTAGCTTTTGACAGTGAAGTGGATGGAGGCAGAACAGAGTTGGGTACTTGCCAATATACTCTCCTTTCTGACTTTTTCTTATCAAAGCTCCAAGTGAAGGACCAGAATTGCCCACAATCATTTCCTTTCAAATGAAGATTTAATATAATAGGCACAACACAAGGAAAAATGCCATGTAGATAGAAAGTTATGGGAAACATAAGCCATTCCAGTCAGGTTTGAGTTTGACTCGTACATGTAAGATAAGGTGAAAGCCTCTAAATCACAATAATAGCATTCCATCAACCATCCGAACGTGCTTTTGGAGCCACATGCTCTACATTTTGATGGCATACTTAATACCCTTGTGGATTCCTGACATTACAGAATTTAATTAAGAGCTATGTCTGATACCATCATACTTGGTTCTGTTATTAAACAAAAGCACTAGTTTTTAAATGGTTGTGAGATTTATTACCTACCTTTTTGCACTGGTATTTCATGTAAGGCATCAACCACTGTAATTTTTGCTGATGCTGAAGCCTGTCCTTGGGAATTGGATGCATGGCACTCATATTCTCCAGCATCTTCCTTACTGAGAGGAGATACCTGTGACAGAAAAAGGATCTTTAGTCCTCTAGGGCGGTCTCTTTTTCCAGTGGCTTCAATTAGGTCATTATTTCAGAAATTTCCTAAGATGACCAGGGGATTCATAGCAGAGATACTGCTAGGAACAGTGCAAGTCCTGTGCTAGGAGACTTAAACAGCTACATATTTGGTCTGCTTGGAGGATTCATACTCTGAGGCAATGTCATGGACAATTTTTGATCACACTGCACAGGTTAAGAACTGGACAGGTGCACATATCAGTTTGAGGGAGACCTTGATAGGGTGTATGATCTAAGTACTATCCATGAGTATCCAAGGTCAAGTAAAATAAAATATTAATCAATAAGTAATTGAAATAATGCTTGGGTCATTTAGTTCCTTGTGAGGATTTTGCTTTGAACTCTTAGGAAAAAAAGCTCGTTTATTCACTGGTTGCTTCCCAAACATCCAACAGACCCAAGCTATTGTTTTACCTCCCTCTGAAAGAGGAGCAGCGGCCCTGTGGTGGTGGGGCTGTTGCAGAGATGCACAAGGGCACATTCTTTCAGCTGGGCAGTACAATCAGGCCTCTGCCAGGTCTGCTGGGTCTAATCCTAAGAATGAAATCCTCGCCAGCTCTTGGCACTCACCAGCACCCAGCCAGTTACTTCATGCTTTTCAGGGCCACCCCGGGTCTGAATGGCCAGGTTGTCCCGGTCACCAGGCAAGAGTTCTGTCCTTTGAACTCCATAGTGACCCCTTTTTACCTGCAAAAACAAAAGGAAATAGTTTTGAGTTTTCTGCACTGAATCATCAACTTGGAAGTAGCCACATTCCTAGAATTGCACAGGGTGTACATCAGACTTTCTATTTGGATTAAACCTAGCAATTTCTATTATTACCCTGTCCCGAATACTTAATATAAAATATAGATGTTCTTTTATTTCTTCCTATCAGTTTCTCTCTAAGCTCATATATTTTAAACTAATGTATTTTTCTGCATGCTTGAGGAATATACATTGTCATACTCTCCTGTCACTGGCTACCATCATTCACTCATGCCCTTGTAAATTCCGCTTCTCAGTGCTGGGCCTTTTCTTGCCTGCCATGCCATGTTGGACTCTGACAAACGGTGTCACCCAGTGCTAGGTTTGATCCTTAGGACCTCGCGTAGGGGCCCAAGTCCAGGGGCTCTACCTGCAACAACCTCGTCAATGGAAGATAGTAGGTTGACTCCAAAACCAATATTTTATTTTATTCTGAAGGCTAAGGATTCATCAAATCATTTCCTACAGACCTGAGAGCAAAAACTCCTGTCAGACATGTTTAATGATGGGTGTGAAAAATAAATCAAAGGGGGCCGGCCCGGTGGCATATGGTTAAGTTCGTGGGCTCCACTTCGGTCGCCCGGGGTTCGCAGATTCAGATCCTGGGCACGGATCCACGCACCGCTTATCAAGCCATGCTGTGACAGCGTCCCATTTAAACTGGAGGAAGATGGGCATGGATGTTAGCTCAGGGCCAATCTTCATCAGCAAAAAGAGAAGGATTGGCAAGAGATGTTAGCTCAGGGCTAATCTTCCTCACAAAAAAAAAAAAATCAAAGGATACATGAAGCAATGTTTATTCCTTCCTGGGCTTCCTTTAAGAGCTAAGCTGATGTTTATTGATATTACCTTTGTAATTAGAAAAAAAAAGATTTACAATCTCAAATAGGTAGTTTCCTTTTCATTTTCTTTTATAATTAAGCAAATCTTCAGTTAAGAAAGACCAGATCGTAGTCTATAAATTTCTGTTGACACTAGCTTCTCCCACATGTGGTCCCACTCCCATCTCTTGTCTCAGCGTCAAACCCACCCTTCATTTTCTCTGCTTTGAGACACCAGGGCTGGGACTCTGCAAAACCACGTGGGATTCTCGGCCAACTCCTACTCTATAAAAAATATCTAGCACTACTGATTTGGAATGCCTGGTTTTTGCTTGCTTGTTTTTTTTTTTCTGGGATTTCCCCACATTGCCACTATTAGAGAAAACCAGGTATCTTAGTGTTTTTCTCATATGAATGCTATGAATGCTATAGAGACAAAATGGATAAATCAATAGGCATCTTTTTCCCTGTTTCCCAAGTTGCTGGCAGAAATGGATTATGTTAGTGCAGATTTTGAAACAGTTATTTAAAAAGGGTTTTTAACAATGGTGTAAATATTAAGTTGATTCAACAGCTAAAGTAACGTGTCTGGTCTTTATTTACCGAATTTCAGAATCCTTTAAGTGTTTTGTGTGTGACCAAAACAGAAAAGCACTACAGCACAGAAATACTGAGTCTCAGCCACTGAGCTTTGCTCCTCAGATCACGTGGCTCTTAGTCAAGAGCCTTCCGCGCCAATCACCCTGGTTCACTATGTACAGAGAAACTGTTCTTGTCAAGTATTGGACTGGAAATGAATACTTACGTAGTCAGGCACCGCATAACCATGTTTTGGTCAATGACAGACCGCATATATGACAGTGGTCTCATAAGAGTAGTACCATAGAGCCTGGGTGTGTAGTAGGCTACACCATCTAGGTTTGTGTGAGTACACTCTATGATGTTCACACAACGATGAAGTTGCCTAACAGATGCATTTCTCAGAAAGTATCCCTGTCGTTATTGTAAAACATTATACACCATGTAGAAAACATAAAAAGTAGTGCTAAGACTTTTTACATGGCAAATTTTTATATGGCAGACTCCCCCTGACTTATGTAAGGGGAGGTTGTTGATAAATATGTGTTTTCCAGTTTAAAAAAAAAGATGTGGGCTGAGGAAAGTGGCTGCTAAGACAATTCTACAGAAGTTCAGTGGGCTGGAAGTGCCTCAAAGTCTGAACCTTAGAAACCTATAGGGCAGAAAAAACTGCCTAGTAGTCACTGCTCACCATAAAGGGTCAACTAGGGGGAGAATCAGAGGGAGACCCCAGAAGTGTTTTCAGCCCTCTCTGGTTGTATTTTAGCTGCAACAAAATCTTCCTGAATTCTGCTACTGCAGATAAGGAATCAAAAAAAGAAAAGTGCCAAAGATTACAGAAGCAGAATGGGTTAGTCTGATTCCTACAGGTTAATACTACATTTCAAGGGTTCACTGAATTTCAGGGAACATTTGAAGGACATTTATGCAGCACAGAACATATCTGTTGTGCCTTTTTGGTGATGTTTTCAGTTTTATAATGAAATGGAATATATGTCTGTTAAAACTTTCACATCCCCAGCCACTGCAAACAAATAAAAGACAAAATGATTGTCTAGGAAAAAAAATGTGTAATACATGAGAAAGGGTTAATATCTCTAATGTACAGAAAGCCAAAGACTGATAATAACAAGAAACACCCAATAGAAAAATTGGTAAAGGATACTGAATAGCAATTCATATAAGAGAAAACCCAAATATGAAAATATTCTCAATGTGGTCAAGGAAATGAAAGCAATAATGAGATGATACTTTTGCCTCATATTAACAAAACCTAAAAAGAGGGGTAATATTCAGTGCTGGTGAGGAGGCAGGGAAATGGCAGCCATGCACTGCTGGGGAGAGTACGAACTGCTTTAATCCATTCAGAAAGTAATCTGACAATGTCTATCCAAACTAAAATTAAATCTTTTGACCTAGTCATGTAACTTTTGGGGGATTCCATCCCGTAGGGGAAAAAAGCTCTTGTATATAAGACATGTACTCTGACGTTTAAGGTAGCATTGTTTAAGGTGATGAAAAATTGGAAATACGGGAATGGTTTAATAATTATGGTACATCCATACTTGGAATATTATCTAGTTCTTGAGAAGCAGACCTGGAGGGATACCTATGAAGTATTTATCGAGGAAAGCAAGTTTCAGAGTAATATGCACACTATATTCCCACCTCTCCCCACATACTGGGGATATATGTTTGCATATGTTTGGGCATGAATAGGGTATACAGAAAGATACAAACCAGGGCAGTGCACCCTGGCTATTTCAGGGAGTGGAAGGAGGTAGGGGGATATTATGAACTCTTTCTTTGTACATCTTTGGATAGTATCTCCTTATTACCATTATTACTTACTATTTTTAATTAAAAAAAAGAATATTCTTAGAGGTCATGAAAGCCAAAATCTGAAGAAATGTTCAGGCAAGGAAAGAAGTGAACAGAGAGCCTCTCAGTCTCAGGAACTCTAGGTGTTTTCCCTTCCCTGTAAGCATCATCTCTGACTTACCAGGTTTAAGGCAAATATGGCTATTTCTCTTCATTACCCCATTTTAAAATATTGCCCTTGGAATCTTTATAGGCTAGGGGTTTGCTGAAGAAGTATGGGACTTGTTAATTAACATCAGCTCCATAACTACTGGTAAGGACAGTACAGACCCCTCACCAGGCTGTGCAACCATCAGGAGTGTCACTGCAGCCTGAGGGGTCTCGGAGAGGGGCCTGTCCTATTCTGCTGTTGCTAAGAGTCCTTGAGCAAGAAAGACTTGCTACTTTCTTTGAAGCTCAGTTTAACAAGTGAGATTCTCATATTCATTTATATCCAAAAGCTTAAATTGGATTTGAACAATGTGTGATCTTAAATATGTCTGCACTCTTAACAGTTTGGTTACAAGGAGAGGAGGAAACAATCAAATGGCCTGTTTAATTATTTAGGTCAGTGTAATGGAAAAAAAAACTCAGTTTTTCCTTTCTATGTAGGGAAGAACTGGTTCTCTCCTACTGTGTGTTTCTAGCCTGTGTCTCCTTTACCTTCACAGAGAACACTTCACTTCTGACACTTGTGGTCACCAAATGTGGGGGGTGTGAGGGTGATTCCCCACAACCACCAAGTCTCTGACACCACCTAGGTGTCCTACAATTTAACTCAATCCTGACACTATCTACCCCTAGATAGCATCAGATCTCATAGATAAGGACTCAGTCATAAGACTGCCCTCCCCACCCCCAGTTCAGACGCCAGTCATAAGCCCGGGTTATCACCTGTGCTTCCGACTATCCAGCTATAGACTGGAGGGTTCAATGACCACCTCCTCAGGTTCAATTAATTTGCTAGAGCGGCTCACAGAACTCAGGGAAAGACTTACTTATGTTTACCAGTTTATTAGAGGATATGATAAAGGATAGAGATGAACAGCCAGATGAAGAGATACACAGGACGAGGTCTGGGGGGTCCAGAGCACAAGAGCTTCTGTCCCCATGGAGTTGGGCTGCGTCACCCTCCTGGTATGGGTGTGTTCACCCAATCTGGAAGCTGTCTGAACCCTGTACTTTTGGGATTTTATGGAGGCTTCATCATGTAGGAATGATCAATTATTAACTCCATTTCCGGCCCCTCTCCCCTCTCTGGAGGATGAGGAGATGAAGCTGAAAATTCCAAGCTTCCAGTCGTGGCTTGGTCTTTCTGGTGACCACCCTCCATCCAGGAGCCATCAAGGAGCCCACCCAGAGTCGCCTCAATAGAACAAAAGATGCTCCCAGTGTTCTTAGCACTTAGGAAATCACAAGGATTTTAGGAGCCTGTGCTAGGAACCGGGGGCAGAGACCGATATATATAGTTTCTATTATCTCACAGTCAGTGACTTTCACAGTGTTTTGACATGGCTCATAGTAAAAAATACATTTTGCATTGTGATCTGGAATATACAAAAGAAAAGTTGTAAGAAATGATACCTTTACTAAAGGTACCTTAAGATATTTTCCGTTATTTTTTATTTCTAAAGAAAATGCTGGCTGTGACCCCTACATTAAATTCAGGACTCGCTGATGGGGCATGGTCTGCAGTTTGAAAAACACTGCTTTAGGTCTTGCCCGTGGCAGGTTACGTTATGAAGCTGGAGGAAAATCAGCAGAGCCTGGCAGTGGGGTTTTTGCCTGTTTCTGGCAAGTCTGTAGAAAATAATTTTTTTTCTCCCTCTCCCTCACTCCTTCCCTTCCCTTCCCATCCCATCCCCCCCAGTAGACAAGCCCTCAGGGAAGCCCAGGGGATCTGCCCTATACAATCCCAAAAGCTTAAAGGAAAAGATTCCCGAGGCAGATTTATTCCCCGGGTATGTGTGTACTTTAGGGGCTGCGGGAGAGCAAGCTCTGAAGAAATTATTCTCCACCAAGATTTGTCAGTAAGGTCACACATTCTGGGACACTTGGGTCACCCTGGCCTCTCATTGTGTAATCCCTAGAGAACTGCAACAGGGCTTTTTATGGATATTCTTTGGCAAGTCGTTCCTCCACCTCTCCACCCTTGAACAAACCAGTAGCCGCCAAATGAGCCCTGAGGAGCCTCAGCAGCTTTGCCGTCAAGGCCAGAGGGACACACCGGCCGGCTGCAGTTTTGCGCTTCACCCCTCTCCCCTCCCCTTTAAAACAAATAATTTATTGGGGTGAAATTTCATTGCTTCCTTTTACAGAAGTTTCAGCTGTAAAAGACAGTTGCAGGTCTGTTGTTGTCTTTGCCCACCCCCACCTCCAGGCATTTTCTGGAATCATCCTGACTTCACTCCCACCAGATGGCCCCATGGGGGTGCTGCACCCCTTCAGCCACATGGGGGAGCCAGAGGTTGGCAGGTGACCCAACCGGAGTCCGAGTCCCTCAGTGGGAATTTATAATGCAGCAGGGAGAGGGGACGCCCTTTGTTTGCTTGGGAGTCTTTAAGCTGTGATATTCATGTGAGCTTGGAGCTGCCAAGTGACAATATCGCCTACAGCGTGGAGGGAGCTTTCTGAGGTAGAAGAAAAAAATGAGAAACAAATACACTGAGAGCAAAGAGTCAAGAGTCTGAGCACATTGTGTACCTAGATCCAGCTGCCCTTGAGGCTGCACTCACCCACTCTTTCTCTCTCTCTGTTTTTTGCCTAAGCTAGTCTGTTTCTAAAGTGAGTTTCTAAACTTACAACAGAAAGAGTTCTGACTACAGGAGCCAAGATCCCTCTCCGAGTTCCAGAAGTTGCTCCTCTGGTCAGACACCAAGCAAACAAAACAATCAAGAGAGGCCATTGCTCATCTTAGAGCTTGCTTGAGAAGTAAACCAGCTAAAAAGGGGCGTCTGGTTGCACTTTTTTACTTCAACTAGACTTCCTTTTTGTTAGCACGAGTTTGATGACGTTTACTCCACAGGATTTTTGTGAGGGTTAAACAAGTCAAATGTATAAAAAGGGCAATAATGTAAAATAATGTAGAGAATAATTGTGAATATTATTTTATCTGGCAAATGAGTGTTTTCTCTTCTACCGACACGCTGAGAATATGCTGTCCTTTGAATGCGAAGACAGTCTATAAGACAATGCCACGGGAACAGGAAACCTTCCAGGAACAGTAGCTAACATCAACCGAGTGCTCATTATGTCTCTGACAACGAGCCAAGTGACACTACTTGCGTCACTTTATGTAATCTTTACAAGAAGTATATGCTACTTTTGTCACACAGAGGAGGAAACTGAGGCTTAGAGCATTGGTTCTCAATCTAGGGCGATTTTTCCCCCAGGGGACATTTGGCAATGTCTGGAGATATTTTTGATCGTCATAACTGGGGGGTGGGTGCTAGTGGCATCTGGTGGGTAGAGGCCAGGGATGCTGCTAAACATCATATAATGCACAGGACAGCCCCCAACGAAGAATTATCTGGCTCAAAATGTCAATTAGTGCTGAGGCTGAGACACCTGGGCCTAGAGAGAACTCAGTCAACCTAAGGAACTCACATTCCTAACCACTATGCTACACCGTCTCCAATGGGGACACAGACACTTGCACATGCTCACGCTTATATATACATGCACAAACACGCTCACACATGCATACACATGTACACACATGCACCCCCCCCCCCACACGCACACTCAGAGGGTGGGTTTGTGTGTTCAGCATTATAGTTCTTCCAGATATTAAGGCTCCCTGCTCGGGCACTGCTAATAAAGGCAGGGCAGGGACTATTTTGGAGGTCAGTAAAAACATTCCACAGACCCTGGGGAGGTGTCGGGAAGACTGCCCTACGGCTTTGCCTTTGAGGAGCAGCAGGCAATCGAACAGGCTAAGGATTTCAGGTTATTACCACGCTCGTGCAGAGGGAAAGGCGCTCGTCAGTCTAGGATGTCTTCCTGAAAACTGTGCCACTGACCTTGTTCCAGATGAGGACAGGGGTTGGAATTCCAATGACCTCACAGCTCAGGTACACCTGGGCACCAGTGACATTCCAGATGTCCTTGGGGGGCGTCACAATGGAAGGACCTACAAGAGAGGGCACAAAGCCAAATCCATCTTTTTAAACGGTCTGGAACATTAGTCAGCATGCCAGGGAGTAAATACTTGATTATGTTTATGAGGCTGTCCCCTCTGCGGATTACCTGAAGCAAATTTCAAAGACCAGACTGGCTTCCCCCTGCCACCAGCATGATTTTAAGCTATGCTTTGGGAATAAATACACACATCTAGACAAACAAACAAACAAACAAAAACAAACAAATAAGAAAAAAATTTATTTACAAAATTTTCTTCTCTTTCAAATCATGCTTAAATGTGTTTTAATTTACCAGCTGTTTTGCATTATCTGGGACTTTCCAATTAATATAGTAAAATTTTGGTTCCAAAATGTTTAATGTTTTTCTTTTTTGTTTGCCAGCATTTTTACGGGAAGGAGGACAAACAACTACTTCTTGTGTAACAAAAAAAAAACTAAGAAGATATTTGAAAACGTGCCGAGCACCCAGAAAAGATGGCAGACTCTGCCTCCAGCAGCTTAGGATCTAAGATTGACAAGTCAATGGTGAAAAGGCAGGGATGGTCACTTTCACCCAAGAGAAAAACGTGGAGTGCTGTGTGCCCTGGGAGCCTGGAAGGAGATGCCTTTGCACAGAGGTGGCCTGGGTGTCAAGGAAGAAGGTGGAAGGGTCTTTCTCCCAGCACAGGTTGGGGGAGACAGGGGGTAAAAGAGAAGCAGTGACAGGTCTAGCAGTGACCAGGGTCCCCAGGAGAGGGCTCTTTCCCAGGCTTCTCAGTGTCCAGGTCCCTGGCAGGGGGCACTGGCAAGTGGGGGCACCTGTCAAGGCATTGCCTGAATAGCGTCACTAGGGATGAGACCACCCAGGGAGAGCCTAGAGTGACACCTTCCTATCCCCCGAGTTCTAGATCACATCCCTAGCCCTTCTCTATCATAACCGTTCCATTAAAAAGGTCCTTACTTAGAACCAACATCAATGGTACGCATCCTTTTCGTTACCAAAGAGGTCTGGGGGCCGGCAAACTCGGGCCCACGGGCCAAATCCGGCCTGCCACTTGTTTTTGCATGGCTTGTGAGAGGTCTCTGCATTTTTAAACGCTTGAAAAGAAATTAAATAAGGATATTTCATGATGTGAAAATTATGAGAGATTCATATTTCAGTGTCCATAAAATAAAGTTTTATTGGAACACAGCCACGCCCAGAGTCGGGCAGTTGCGGCCGAGACTGTATGGCCTAAAACATTTCAATTTGGCCCTTTACAGAAGAAGTGCTGCTCCCTACTCTAATCAACTGAGGGCTGACCAATGCCTAAATAAGAGATTACGGACGGTCTCAGGACTTCAACTCTTTATACCTTACCTGGAGCTCATGCAAGTAAACCCACTGGATGACTGCTGGTCCAGCTCTGAAATGCAATACTTTTGAAGCCAACAGAGACTGAAAGAGCTGTGCTCGCTTACTGCTCCCTTCTGCTGAGGGTCCGGCTCCCTAACACTGGCAGTGTGCGAGTCATGCACACCTACCTTTTAGTGAGTGGTAATTAGAATTTCACTTCTGCTAATTCTGAACACCAGGCTTCAGGCACCAGGGGTTTTCAGAGAGACCGGGGGACAGTCCACAGAAAAGGCAAGGAGAGCTGGGGGCCTGCCCCCCACCCCCTGCCCCGCCTTGTGACAGCGCATTACTCTAGAACCAAACCTGGCCCGTACTTGATGCTCAATACTATTTCTTGAATGAATAAGTTAATTATTCCCTCTGAATTTCAGCTCTTCACTGCCTTGGGTTTCCCAGCCTAATAAAATGTCTAACTGCAGGGTCCTCTTGCATCAGAGTCCTGGGAAAGGGACAACCTTCCCTTTAGGCCTGGAAAGTTTTCTGGCATAATCAGCATTCAAAGGACATGAAGTCTCCCCTTTTGCAACAGGCTATTTCCAGCACACTATTAATTTCTTGAAGCAGAAAGGAAATGACCCCAGCATGTAAGATTTTTCCCACTCATCTAAAGTATTAGAAGCTGAATGTTTCTTAATCCTTGGGGTATTTTTATTTTTTTCCTTTGTAAGAATGCGCAAAACAATCAAAGTTTTGAAAGCTCTAAATATATTTCGCGCTTCCTTCCCTCTAAACCATAGGACTGAAGAGGAAGTGTCAATCTTGGCCGGGGTCTTGGCTTTTCTGTTGCAAATGTGGATGTAGTAAGCATGGCTGTGCTGTGTTTATGTGTGTTTCTGGCTCTGTCTCCGATGCTTCCTAGCCTGACCACAATGATACAGGACCCTGCAAAGGGCTGGGCTGGGCCTCACCCCATCCCAGGCTTCTCCCAGGGCCTGGGATCCTAAGGGCTTTGACACTGCAGAACCGGATCTGGCTAGACGTTGAACTACTTTCGCTCACCTCTCTGAGGGCCTCCATGTGGCTCTGTCCTCCTTCCCACACACGGACTTGGCAGGATGACCTCAAAGCTCAGGGGATCTCAAGGGATTGTTCTGAGAAGAATACACCAGTGTTCAGAGATTTGGAGGGGCTTGGGAACAAAGTTGCCTCTCACGTATCAAAACCACACAAGGAATGTAAGACGTTTTTATTGTGAGGTCTGAGTGTCTCAGCCTTGCAAAAAAACACTTATTTTAACTTCCATCCATCTCCCTATAGGTAGCAGAGTCATCTGTCTTTGTCAGGGGGCAGATTCTGGAGTGCATATGGAAGAATTCAGCCTGATTTTCTGTCATAGATCTTGAAGACATGCCATGGATTTTTCCCATGGCATAATTTTAAAACTAAGATATTCTTATCCAATTTATCAAACTTTTCTTTAGTGATTAGTGCTTTTTGTGTCCTGTTAAAGAAACTCTTGCCTAGCCCAAGGCCATAAAGATCTGTTTTCTTACACAAACGTTATGGCTTTACCTTTCACATTTAGGTTTGTGGTCCATCTTGAATTAATTTTTGTGATGCTATGAAGTAGAGGTCAAAGTTTACTCCCTCCCTACCCCCTAGGACATCCGATTGCTTTGGCATCATTGGTTGAAAAGACCATCCTTTTCCTACCGAATCGTAACGCCTTTGTGGTAAATCCATTGACCATGTATGTGTGAGTCCATTTCTGGATTCTCTATTTTGTTCCATTGGCCTATGTGTCTATCCTTGCACCAACAACCATGGTATAATTTAGAATTAATTGTGTTAAAAGTGAAGCACTGAATAGAGGGTAGATCCATTATATCCATTTCCCTCCAATCTGTTCCTTGTCCAAGAACAGAACATTTCAGGAGGAGCAAGAATGCTTAAAAACACCTGAACTCAGGAATACTTTGAAGGAGAGCCGTTACCAGGGGGTTCAAAATTAGGCAAATCCTGCTGTGGGTTCCTCTTTCTCTCTCCCAACCCTTGGAATACACATAAAACCTTAGGTGAATGGGCTGAGTCAAGATTTGAATTATTCTAAGAACATAAATGATTTTGTCAATTCTGCTACCAGGCTATCCCTAGAATTCTACATGATTTCCATACCACAAAAATCTATATTCCTCACTGACTCCTGTTGAGTTGACGGGGAGGAGGGGTTATTAGGACCAGTTTGCTGCACAGCATTTATAAAAATCCTTGGCTATTTCAAAATATCCTCGAACAAATGTTGGATTCAGTAACACAATGAAAAGTTTAGTAAACAATATCTAAACTGGAAAGTGGTAACCTATAGAATGGCCTTTCAGTTTTGATATGTAGTGTCTTGCAAAGTAAGATCAGATCAGTGAGTGATTAGACTAATATTCAAGTGATCAACCAACCTCCTAGAGTAGGTGGAGGTGGGCTGGCTTCAACCAGACTTCCTGGGTTGGAAGAACACGTAGTTTCAGATTCTTACTTTGTTCAGTGCTGATACCCCCTGGGTCACCTACTTACTAAACTCTGCCTGGTTCTTTGCCACTCACTGGTTTGGAAATTCCCTCAGAATATGTAGAGGGAATGGAGAAACTCTTGATAGAGGCAGAACATAGCAGCACTATGGAAAGATGAGTGATGACGCATGGTGAGAAAGAGTAAGAAAAGGATTTAATGGTGACCCACAGAGACACCAAGTGGACAAGTCTTGTATGGAAGTGAAGAGATGGTGAAATATTTTGGACTAACACCATGGTAGACCCAAGAATGCTGCACTCCCCTCCCCCAGTCTAAAGAACCATCATCCCACATATTCCATTGATAAGCAATTTCACTGCCCACAATCATCTAGAATAGCACGTCTATCAGGCAATTCAATCCCTGAGGGTTCTGTTTTACTTCAGGAGAGTGCTCAGCAAAATGACTCTACCAAATAGCTCTAACCCTTTCCACTCTGCCTTTTTTTGAAGAAGGCCAAAGCAGATCTAGAATTTATTTCTATTTTTAAGGATAAAAGAACTTTTAGTTTCCTCTGAGCTTGTTTTCAGGCAGAAAGCTCAAATTCAGTCCTCAAGGCCAGGCCACGGGTAACAACATTGCCATCTAAATCATCCTGTGTTTGGATTCCATTTAAAACAAGTCTCGGAATATTTAAATGTGTAGGGACACACACCAGGATAGGTTCAAGTATTTATTTATCCTTGCCTTTGTTCCAGTAAGGACTTCAGGTTGCTCAAACATGTGTCTAGCAAACATCCTGGCCATAGAATAACTGACTGCCCACTGCCTCTCTCCTCCCCTTCACCACCTGCAACTCCAGACAGCAACCAAGCTGTCCACAGTGCTGCCTGGTGGCTGGTGTGAGGAAAGTCTACCCCCCGGCTTTCCCCACCCCAAACTCACCTCTATCCTGCGTCAGATGACCGTCCAAAGCAGGCCACTCCACTTTCCTTCTCACCTTTCACAACTCATTTCTCATCCAATCTCTGGCCCTCCTCTGTTCTCTAAGTTTATTTTCCTCCTTATTTTTTTTATAACTCTCGCCTAATAACGTTAGATGGTCTCTTCTTTTTAATCATTCCTTGAAGGGAAAGAGGAAGAAGAAGGAAGGGAGGGAGGAGGTAAAGG